GACGATATTCACGGATCTGAAACTTGGGTTTTGGATCTTCTAATCTTGAGGGTTCCCTCTTGAGAATTCTCTTTAGATGGGGATAAGAGAATGAAAACTCAACCCTAAGATTAGGGACCATAACCCCTTTATATAGACTTGTAGTTTTATAATTTAGCCCATCATTAAATTAGAATTACAATCTGGTATCTACACAATTAGCCCATAACATATATAAATACCCATTGACCCAATTATATAATTGATCACTTTATGTGGGTCAACTACAAAGATAACAACACACATTGGTGTAACATATGTACCCACAAATAGATTTAATTAGATTTAAATCTAACAATCTCCTACTTGGACACTATATGTTTCATTAAAATGTGTACAACCTTGTGAGCTCAGAAATTGCTATCACAAATAAGGGTATTTCCAAACAATCTCATCCATTGACAATATCAATATAGGATCAAAGCGTCCTTCGTCAAATTTATCGTGACTAAACCCATCAATGATCACATATGCCAATACAATAAAATAACATAGATCAATCATGGATGTGCAGCATAAAAATTACATGCAATGTGATTAGTACATGTCTATTTTTAACTGGTCCAACCTTAAACTTTAGTGAGGTCAAAACCAAACATAATGTAATAGAGTGTCTTAACTGAATACCTTATTCTGATCAGACAATATAACCAAACATAAAGCACCACAATCACAAACTCCCACTAAATCATGATTGTAGGCGTCTAAAAATGCCTATAGGTATCCACGCACAGCTCAAGACAGAGAGAAGGTGATGAACGTCATTATCTAAGTCAAAGAGGATTATCCGATGCCGACCAGCGAATCAACGAACTATGGATGATGTGGCCCGCACGTTCACCAGCCACCACCAAGTGGCAGCCACCACCAAGTGGCCCGCGCGCCCACCAGCCACCAAATCGGCAAACCAAGTGGCTCGCGTGCTCACCGGCCACCATCCAGTGATCCGCACGCCCATCAGCCACCAAACTGGCCACCAACAAGTGGCCCGAGTGCTCTCGGTCACCAAATCGGTGAACAAGGTGGACTGCGTGCTCACCGGCCACCATCAAGTAACCCGCACGCTCATCGGCCACCAAAACAGCGTACAGATCAATGAAACGATGAAATACGCGTAACGACAGAACAAGTCAAAATCCGGAAGACTAAGAAAGCCGCTGGCGGTCGAGTCGCATCGAAACGACTCGGTCGAACCAGTGGTTCGGCCTATAGCCAGGTCACCAAGGGTGGCTCGGCGGGCGAGGGCCATGGGCCGAGCCACCATTTGGTGGCCAGGCCAGGCCGAGCCACCATTTGGTGGCCAGGCCAGGCCGAGCCACCATTTGGTGGCCAGGCCAGGCCGAGCCACCATTTGGTGGCTAGGTCAAGGCCGAGCCACTGGGTGACGCTTCGGCCAGATTTGATCTGAAAGTATGATTTTTCGGTTTTCACGGATTCTCTTAGGATTTGTTGGTTCCTGAGCGTCCCAACTGATCTGATACTATGGTTAATCAATTCTTAACTGAAGATAAGGAGGAATCCCTCGTTCTTATCCAAATACCCGCTTCCGAAGCTTATAAATACGAGCTCGGGTGCTCATTTCTCAAGGGCTGAACATCAAGAGGGCGAGGTGCTGCCGGTTTCTCGAGTGCATAGCCACGAATTTCAGAGAGGGTTAGCTAGATCTCGGTGATCTCCTGTGCATAAAGAATGGAGTTCGAGAGATCTGAGACCTGTCCCCTATTCCTTCGGATTTAAGCTTGGTCTTAAATCTCGAGAAGAGCCATAATCTCGCTTGGTCGAGATTACCGCTGCAGCGATTACTTCCTTCGTGAAGTAAGAGCTTTGACCATCAATCTGTTAACCGGATCTGGTCCGTGATGGTCCACGGATATTAACGTCCTCGGCACAGGCAAAGATCCCACACAAGCAGAAGACCGATAAACGATCTCTGTGCTGTTTGACGAGAATTGTACCATTTTATTTTCATTGTGTAAAGGTCTTATAAAAAGACCAATCTTTTTTAAACTTATTGTAACGATCAAAGTTGTAATGAGTTATACAATAAAAATAATAATTTTCTCCCCAAACAAACAATCCGAGGGATGATGATATAACTCTATTGCCTTAGGAACTATGAAATGCATTGAATGCAGTCAAATCAAAAATATATCGGTAACCTTGACAGCCAATTACAAGTGAATAATAGTAACCTTAATATTAAAGTGATAAACTTGACAACCAAGTAATAACCTTAACAACCAAGCCATAAACTTAACAATTTTAATGATATACTTAACAATTTTAACAATCGGTGACACTGACAACCAATGGCAAGTGGATAACAGTAAACTTAACATCCAATCGATAAACTTGACAACTAAGTCAAAACTTCCACAAACAAGTCATAAACTTAACAACCAAATAGTAACCTTAACAATCAAGCCATGACCTTATCACTTGTAACAATATGCAGGACAACAAATCCATATACATGATAATAAAACGCTAAACTATATAGGCTCGTTACAGGTTGTACGATTGTGACCCTCCACGTTGCATCGAGAACACTTAACAAGACGAGTGTTCAGTGACCTGTTGTTTATTCGTCTAGTGCATGGTCTGTCACATCTTTTTTTGGTGAGAGGAGGCTTTGACACTCGCTCTTCTGGCGGTACAAAGCGCTTCTCGTAATCTGGGATGGGAAAGATGATCAGTGCATAACTTGATCTGAATGCGTCAACAGTCATGTAGCAATCACAATATTGATAAATTTCTCATCCCATCCATGTAATTGCAGCACACGCATGTTTGCAAGGAATGCGGGTGATGTCCCAGGACCGGCAATAACAAGTCCGATTCTTCAAATCTACACGGCAAGTTTAATTGGACTCGACCTCCATAATATCTTCCGTCAAACGTTTAATCGCCAAGCAGCTACCATGCTGAATATTATCACACAGCACCATCTCCGCTTCCGGGCATAAGTATCCAGACCATTTCTGACCCACTAGCCTTCTTTCATGCATGCACTCTATTATTTGCTTCCGTATGGTCTCAACCAAAGGTAAGATTCGCAATAATCATGCCTTTCTTATCCAACTGTTGAAGGACTCAGTAACGTTTGAAGTAACATGGCCATACCTTAATAACAAAACACTAACACTAACAATAAAACCATAAACTAAACATTAAAGGCCTAACCATAACAACAAATATTCTAAACTTAACAACAAAACCCTAGCAGAATAATTCTAACCATAACAATAAAAATCTAACCTTAACAGAAAACTGTAGGATAACTCTAACCTAAATAACTATAACAGTGCTGTAACAAAATAAATCTAACCTTAACAGAAAACTGTAGGATAACTCTAACCTAAATAACTATAACAGTGCTGTAACAAAATAATGTTGAAACCAAGCTATCTTACCTTATACCAGGAAAATGCGCATTTTCCCATCTCTCCGGGGAGTATTCCATTATAGTGACATAAGTCCTGTGATCGATCGTTGCTAATTCTTTCATGTCATCATCCCATTCAGATATTGTGAACTTATAAGCCGCAGATTGTAACAGCTCGCCCAACGTAGTCGTGACATTTATCCCATTCAGATATTGTGAACTTATAAGCCGCAGATTGTAACAGCTCGCCCAACGTAGTCGTGACATTTGCCTTGTGCCCAAAATCCTTCATCTTAAGCCGCAGATTGTAACAGCTCGCCCAACGTAGTCGTGACATTTGCCTTGTGCCCAAAATCCTTCATCTTATTTTTGAAATTCTCGACTAGATGCAGAACACAGCTTGAATGGAATGCATCTGGAAAGAATTCCTCGACTTCTGCCCTAATACCCTTGTCGGTGTCGAAAATCATTACCAGTCGATGTGGAGGTTGGTAAGGATTTTTCCTATCATACAGTAACGTCCATAATCCTTGTAAGAACCATTTCCAGTTAACCTTATTCTCTTGGTCGCATACGCAATAAGGAAGGGAAAATATTCCCTGGTTGTCGTCATACACAGTGACACTAAGTAGTATGCCTCTATAACGATCTTTAATAAATGTTCCATCCAAAAATAATAGAGGCCTACACCCAGCAATGAACCCTTCAATATAGGTATTATAACTAATGAACAATCGCCTGAACCTCCCGTCATCAGCATCAATAATAACACGACTCCCAGGATTAGTTGCATGCCCCATGGATTCATACATGCATGAATATAACAACAAAATAGTACATTTAGCAACGGAGACATAACCATACAAACTGATCTTCAAACTTCACGACCAACACATATACTTAACGACGAACCAATAACTTTACAACTACTATGTATAGTTAGCAACCAAAATGTAAGCAGTAGATTTAACAACAGATTCATAACCATAACAATTGATCTTCAAACTTCTCAACCAACCCGTATACTTAACGTCGAACCAACAACTTTAACAACTACTACGTAAAGTTAGCAACCAAAATGTAAGAGTGATTTCAGAAGAATAAAAAAGATAAGGATCATCTCAGTGAATCGTAAGCCTCATCATCGTCACCGAAGAGGTCCAGTTGAGCTGTCTCCTTACCCCACCACGCTTTACTGTAGTTAATCTTGATGCCAAAATTAGAGAGCATGTCGTTCTTGATATCAACTGCACGAAGATCCGGCCTAACCTTCAAAACAGCTTGTATTTGGCTAGAAATGAACTTTCTTGATGCCCCTGAGTTGCCAGCATTTGCTCCATGTTGACCGCAAATGTGGGTAGATTCAAAATTCTTTATGGACATGATAGACGAATTTCTAAGCGAAGAAGCAAACAACATCCAAGGGCAACCACGTGTGTGCTTGAATCGGCAATAGACTCTTATGCGCCTTTGTTCATTGTGGTAAAAATCATACTCGAACCGTTTAGCAATTGAATAGTATTGAAGTGCTAATCTAACTTCAACAGTACTATCAAATTTCTGACCCACTTCACGTATGGAGGTGTGCCACTCAGTCGGGTTTTTTGTTTGGTGGTTAAGCATGTCATCCAGCAGCATGATCGAGTCGCCAGTGGGGTTGTCATTAGGAATACGCTCATCATTATAGGTTTGGGTGAACGTGGTATCTGCGCACTACGAATTTTCTGTCGGTATTGTCCTGAAGTAGTAATAAAAATACATAGCCTTAGCAACGAACTGATAACCTTAACAACAAACTCATAAACGTAACAACCAACACATATCCTTAACAACTAACCCTTATACTTAAGGACAAACTCGTGACCTTAAAAACAAAGGCATATACTTAACATCAAACACCTTACCATAACAACCAACTAGTATACGTAACAGCGAACAAATAACCTTAACAACCAGTCCTTAACATAACTTTGACAACCAACTCATTACCTAAGCAACCAATGCATAAGGTTAACAACTAATGGCAAAACCTATCAGTGAACTCAAAAGGAAATCTGGACTGTAATTCCTACGTAGTTTCCAGCGTAGTCTGCTTGTTCTGTGAAGTTGAGGATTCCCCAGCGGAGGTAGCATACAAATTCGCGTCTGTAAATCCATTACGCCGATAATACTCGAACATTAAATTTAAGTCATTGTCATTGTCAATTAAAATACTGAATTTTTTTTCCCTTTAGCATATGAACTTCAATGAAAGAGATTGCATTGGTATTTTAAGCCTTTCCGACACTTGATATTTCAAGCTGATTATTTCTGTATTGTGAAAGAGATTGCATTGGTATTTTAAGCCTTTCCGACACTTGATATTTCAAGCTGATTATTTCTGTATTCTCTTTGATAACGTTTCAAGCTGATTATTTCTGTATTCTCTTTGATAACGACGAATACACCGTCACCACCTTTGTTGCTTTTTACCTTCGTTACCACGCATAGAAGAGATCCATCCGTCCTTTTATTACATGGAGTAGTTGAAGAAACCTAGAGGCTTTTATTGAGGAGAATTAAGTGGAAGGAACAAATTAGTTGGGGTAATAGAATGGGGAGAAACTCAGTGATTTTATTACGGTTAGAAGGGGAATATATCTGGTGATAATTTTGGAGGAAAATGAGAATCCCCCCCCAAAGGCATTCTAATCACCATTTAATGCCTACAGTAGAAACGTCATGTTTCCGACGTGAGAGGGCGACGAACACAGGCTGCAAATGATATTTTGGGCATTTCGAGAGGGGTTTAAATGGAGTTACGCCTGGGGATTCGTTTTGGGGGCTAGAAGAAAATTGCGAGCGATTTTGGGGGCAAAGCACCCGTTGAAAAAGTCTTGGGGGGGCACGTTTTCTTGTGTTTTGGGGGCTGGAAGCATTTTTCGCTATTTAATTACATAATATAATGTAGTATAAATCATGTCATATGATTATATTATATTAACACAATATATTATTTTACTATAATATAATATGTTTTAAATATTCTAGATATATATTATAGTAATTATCACATAATATTATATTACATTTTAATTATAATATAGTATTTTAAATATATTATATTAAATAAAAAATATTATAATCTTTTTTATTTAATATAATAGCTATAATAATATAGTTTGAACTAATATAATATAATATGTTATACTATAACATGGATACCTTTTAGACATTCTGTATATTATAATAATTATCATATCATAGTTATTATATTTTAATTATTATATAATATTTTAAGTAATATTATATTGAATAAAATAAAATATTACAATATTTTACATAGTACATTATATACTATTATATAGTCTAATATATTAAATTAAATATTATATTATTAAAATATTATATTAAATATATTGTTATTATATAATATTGA